AAAGCATGGACTTACCTTTCCAGTTTCCTGGCTAGGCATCTTCTGGTTTTCACTTCCTCCACATACAGCTCTTTGTACATCTCCATCTCTCCCTGCGTTGCTTCTTTACGAGAAGCACTCTCTTGTTGGGTTTTTTGACTCTGTCCAATTCACTTTGGAGATGTCTAATTCTTTCTTCCAACCGGATTCTCACGGAATCACAATGACTGTCTCCAGTTTGTCCTAGTGGGGCCTGGTAGGCTGCCTGTGCCTGAAGGAGACAGTGCACCTTCAACCCCCACAAGAAAAAGAGAGCTCTGCCCAGCACAAAATTGCACAGACCCAGTTTCAAGGGCCCAGCCTTACTCAGAGAGGTGGCTGTGCCTCCTCACTCCCAGCAGCAATCAAGGCACAACCCAGCAGCTACCAGGGCAAACAATTCTTTGCATTGGGAAAGAAGCCCAAATTAGCTCTCTTCTTCAAAGCTACTAATGAAGAGCCTGTGGACACTGCTGAGAAAGTCACTTACTTGCAAAACGAGGCTGACGTCTTGGAGCTTTTGACTTCTTTCCTGCTCAGCTCGTTCTTCCACCTCTCTTTGACATTGTTCTCTTTGGCTGCCATCCAGCACCAAAGTCTCCAAATGATGATGGAGTTTGGTCACCTTATCTTGCAGCTGACATTTGCTCTTCTCCACTTTTTCACACTTCCCAAGCAGAGTGGACAGCTCTTCTTGCAAAGCCTGGTTTGGGGCCTCTGGCTGCATGCCTGTTCTAGGCTCCATGTCCAGCTGCTGGGAAAGTTCACCACCCTGGACACAGGAAAAAAAAGGAAAGGAAACTCAGGGTGATCTAAAGGCAGTGAATTCTGGGAAAACCTCTCAAGGGGGTGGCCATGGCAACTGTATTTATCATCTACTGGAAACCAGCCTAGAAAACACTGGAAAGATTCCCCGACAGAAAGAAGAAACTTTAGACCTACTGAACAATTTGGGAGACACTTCTGGGTCCCTTGGAGCTCATGATGAAACTCCTCATTTAGAATCTAAGAATTCCTCGAGTGTCCAGCACAGCAAATACCCTCAGGGCTTTTGTAGCAGCTGGGGAAAGGACCAGGCTGCTTTCTGAGCAGCCTCTGCTGAGGAGAAGGCAGAAACTGAGCTCCCCTAGGCTCTCCAGGAAAACTTCCTCTGACAATTGCCCCACACAAAGAGGCAACTAGGCTCAAGAGTCACAAAAAGGGAAATTTAGGACCAGCTTACTGAGGCAGAGGCTTGCAGGGCTCTCGGAAGGGCTTCAACGCTATCGCTTGGCTGCTGGACAGTGGCTTCCAATCTGTTGTTTTCACTTGCAAAGCTTAAAAAGAAATACAGGTCTTATTACCAGAAAATCCAATGCCAGACAAACTGTGCTAAGGAACAGAATCCACAGCAGAAGTGTCCTTCAAAATCCCACTGACTCTGCCCTTGTTGCCACCCAATCCCCCAAAGCCACAGACCCCTCGCTTCACTGGGTTACTCTCTTACTGTTGCGCGTCTTCTTCCAGTTGTTTTACAGTCGGATTGGTCTCACAAGATGCCAACAGGAGGTCCTGCAGATTCTGGGAAGAAGTTATTTCCTCTCTTTCCTTGTCATCCAAGGCAGTCTTCAAGTCAGGAACACAATGCTCAGACTGAAGATGCTTTTCTTCCTCCTCCTGCAGCTGTAAAATCACGGTAAGAATCCACAGTTGTCAGGGGAGCTGTTCCAGAGAGGAGCCAGCTGCTGCTGAAGAACTCAGGGGTTGCATGTCTGTGTGCATCCCCTCTGCCCAAAGAACTGCAAGCATTTCAAGTCCCTTCAAAGCTTCACTTCTACTCCCCAATGAACACAATGAATCCTGTTTTGTCCATTTTCAGGATGGAGAGGAAGCAACAGGCACCCCCAGGTTTCTCCCTGTGGGGACAGGCTTTCCATACCTCCACATCAGCCCTGTCCAACTCCTCCTGCAAGCGCAGATTATCTTCCTCCAGGTGAGCCTCATGCCTTCCAGGAACCACAAGAGCAGTCCTAAAGCATCCAAAATTTCATC